GGCGACGACAATATACTCCACATGAAAATGTGGGCGTATAAAAACGTTTTAGTATATCACCGTTACACCCTAATGATGGCTGAGCTTGAAATTCGTGAAAATCGGACAAAAACTTCTGGACAAAATGTCCGCCCCTTGTACGCAAATAGTGTAAAATATGGTATATCAAGGTTGTGGACCCTCTAGAGGTCACAATTTTCATCCGATTTTGATGAAACCTGGAATGCATGTTTATAACCCAAAGATCTTGGTTCCTTTTGATATTCGCACATATCATATCATAACTTCCTGAATTATGGCCCCTGATTGTACAAAAAATGACGTTTTTAGCTTGTGGTCCCTCTTGAGGTCACAATTGTTATCTGATTTAAAAAAAAAAGTTCAAATATATCACGGCTACACCATATTGTTGGTTGAGTTTGAATTTCATGAAAATCGTACAAAAACTGCCAGACAATATTGCCGCCACTCAATACACAAAGAGTGTAATTATCTGGTATATTAAGGTTGTGGACCCCTCTAGATGTTACAATTGATCCAATTTTGATGAAACTTGAAATGCATGTTTATAACCCAACGATCTTGGTTGCTTTCTATATTTGCGCATATCGTATTGTAACTTCCTGAATTATGGCCCCTGATTATACGAAAAATCGTGTTTTTAGCTTGTGGTCCCTCTAGAGGTCACAATTATCACCGTTGCACCGTAATGTTGGTTGAGTTCGGATTTCGAAAAAAATGGCCGCCCCTCGTAGGCAAATAGTGTAAACATCTGGTGTATCAAGGTTGTGGAGCCTCTAGAGGTCACAATTTTGATCCGATTTTGATGACACTTGAAATACATGTTTATAACCGACATATCTTGGTTCCTTTCAATATTTGCGCATATCGGATCGTAATTTCCTGAATTATGGCCCTTGATTTTACAAAATTTAGAGGTCACAATTTTTTTTCCGATTTTAAAAACTATTTAAATATATAACAGGGTTCCCGCGGTCCTTGAAAATCCTTGAATATCCTTAAATTTAAAATTTCATTTTCAAGGTCTTGAATATCCTTGAATTTCGCGGAAATAGGAAATTATCCTTGAATTTCAGTTGAGATCCTTAATTTTGTTTCAGATGTCTTCAATTCCTTTTAAATATGAGATTATAACGATAGTCGGTAATGTTTTGGTTATTTTTAAGATGAAAAATTGTAACTTTAGGCTAAAAAATGTCCTTGAAAATCCTTGAATTTGACGTATATTTATCCTTGAATATCCTTGAAAAAATGTTTGACGAAGCCGTGGGAACCCTGTAAAACCATTCCACCATAGTGAAGGTTGAATTCGAATTTCGGGAAAATTGAAATGAAACTGCCCAACAAAATGGCTGCTCTTTATACGCAAATTGTGTAAAAGTATGTAGTACGAAAGTTGTGGACCCTCTAGAGGTCACAATTTTTATCCAATTTTAATGAAACTTGAAATGTATGTTCATAACCCAAAGATCTCGGTCCCTTTAGATATTCGTGAATATCGGACTATATCTTCATGGATTATGACCCCTGATTGTACAAACAATCACATTATTTTTTTAGCTCGTTCTCTGTCCATCTCTTGCAAAATGTGGGCATATCTTGCATAGGAACCGTTTGTATCCAATTTTGATGAATCATAAAATGTATATTTATAACCCAAAGATCGCAGTTCCTTTCGCTGTTACCGCATATCGCAACATAACATCCTGGATTATGGCCCTTGATAGTGCGAAAAATCGTGTTTTTAGCTTGTGGACCCTCTAGTGGTTGCAATTTTTATCCATTTTTAAAAACGATTATTATGTCACTGTTACACCATAATGACGCTCGAGTTCAAATTTCGTTAAAATTGGACCAACACTTCCGGACAAAATGGCCGCTCCTTGTACACAAATAGGGTAAAAGTATGTAATACCAAGGTTGTGGGCCCTCTGCAGGTCAGAATTTTTATCAGATTTTGATGAAACTTTAAATATATGTTTATATCCCAAAGTTCTTGGTTCCTTTTGATATTGGCGCATATTGGATCGTAACATCCTGGATTACATCTGATTGTATGAAAAATCTTTTTTTTAGTATTTTCTCTGTCCATCTCTTGCAAAATGTGGGCGTATCTTGTATGGCAACCCCTTGTTAATGAATTAAGAGTCTTGAATTACCTATAAGTCACTTTTTTAGCATAAACCAATCTGATACAATGTTCATTTGAAATTGGTGAGCAAGTTGAATATTTACAAAATTAAAATGTCTTTTCAAGCTCTTAATAGTAAGTGCAGGAGGACTGCACTGCACGCAAAACAAAAATCTACAAGATAAACCTGCGGACAAGACAGAAAATAGACATTGCACCAAATAAACAAATCAAGCGAATGGATCCTATATCAGTTGAAATGTTTGACTTTACATCTTGTGGTATATTAATTGGTCATTATTTTGTATTTGTGAGAATTGTAAATCTTGCACTGCTTCATTAAAATCTTTCATCCTCTAGTAGTTCTGTCCACACGTTTGAGCCACATGTTTGAGAGAGATTAGATCTTTTACGTACTGTATAAAAGTGTGTCCCTCTCACCCTCATTATATTACTATATATGATTGATCAATGCCCTTAATTGTCTACTTTCATTTCAGCATAATGTATTTTACTAGAATATTGTGTTTATTTACGCTTGTTTTTATTTTTCAGCGGGCAAAGATGAATTATAACCCAGCGTGTTATTTAGGTTCAATTTTGGTTTCTTTAATAAATTGATGACTCATTAAAACAACTTTTTACTTCTCCAAAATTACATGAATCGGACAAAAACTAAATCTTGTTAAATTGATGGAGGTGATTTGGTGACAGAAATCAAAAATGATTTATTTTTTTGAATTATTGTTTAATTGTTTGGGGTGATCACAATCCATAGATCTGGTTGCAAACTGTCGCCCTCTCGAATAGTTTACCATTTGTTGATTGCAAAAATGATAATAAGAAAATATGTGAATTTTGTACAGGTTAGCAAGTAAGTTTTTGGACTGGGAATAAATCATCATTCGTCATATATTCATGTTCTGTAAATATTGTCAAATTGATTTCCATAATAATTATTGATTACAGGGGTATTTTATATGTATGGACTTTGTAATATTGTTATTAGTACATATATAGCGTACTTCAACACAGCTAATAGCTTTGGATGCTTTAATTATCAGATTTGCTATGATGTTATCTAATAAAAACTACTGAGATACACTTCCTGATGCTGTATAGCTGTGATGAATATAGGGTAGTAGTGATCTGTTAAAGGCTGGAATTATTCAAGATTATAGCCTTGCTTCTTGAAAACATCAATACAAATATTTCAGCACAGTGCATCTGCATATAATATGTAGTTCACCTGTTTGCCTCTCTATTTCTGCCTGTGAAAATTAAATTGAAATTAAACCATGTTTATGCATATATTTTTACCCATCAATTTATGAGTGCAAAAATTTCATGTCATATATATTGTGTGTTTGTCAAGGGTATCAAGAAATTAAACAACAAATATTTCATATAGTGCATGGATTATTTAAGACAATTTAATAAAGTTAAAACATTAGTGTATTGGTATAGTATTGATATATATAATATATATATATATATATGGTGAATATGAGATTTTATTTAGAACCCTGTATTATTTTTAAATAAAACGAATAAAACAAACAGAATAAAAAAATAAGTTGAATCGAAATAAAGATATACCACTATAAATATTGTTTGATATCAAATAAAGCAATGTGGAATTAGAATGTATTGCTGAATGTCGTGAATGAATAAATTATAGTTTTGAGAGATTGTAAAAACTACCAGAAAAAAATTGGATGTCAAATGATTTGTTATGCCTAAAATATGTCACATTTTTATACACCCACATTTTCATGTGGACATATATTGTTGTCGCTCCTGCCTGTCCGTCCACAATTTGTTTGTGGACACTCTACAGAGCTTTATCTCCCAAAGATCTTGGTTCCTTTTGAAATTGGCATGTATCGGACCGTAACTTCATGGATTATGGACCCTGATTGTACGAAAAATCATGTTTTTAGCTTGTGGACACTCTAGAGGTCACAGTTTTTATCTGATTTTGATGAAACTTGAAATGTATGTTTATAACCCAGTCTGATTTTAATCAACACAGATCCTATTTAGTCTCGTTTTTTAAAGTTTAAAATTTCCTTTTACTTGTCTTCACTACACTAGGATCTTGAAGAGTTGTTTATATAAGCCACATTCTGGTTAATGTGAGGGATTAGCAATTGAAACACTGTTACAGCGAGTTCTTGGCATGCGATGCACAGAACTGGGGTAAACCACAAGAAACGTCAACGCAGGTTGATTAATCAATGTCGGACGCAGGGTTCTTAATCCATTTTGAAACGAATTGGCCAGAATTGGGTCAAATGGTATGAACTGGGGTTTAAAATTTTAAGCTTCCATTCCCTTTAATATAACCAGACTTCAACAAAAATAATTCTTGGTAATTTGTTATGAGGAATATTGTAATTACCACAAATATAACGACAAACTGGTACACCGTTTGGAAGATTTTCCATATTTAATTCACTACAGGCTTGAAATTCATGTCTGTAATATTCCTGAATAAATTACTTTATTCGTTTTTTTTGTTGGATAGAAGAATACAACACCATGGTATTTCTTCATAACACAATTTGTAGGGGTTTTTTTCTGTCACATAACTTGCAAATGTTTTTATTCATTCGTCCATGATAGACACGATAGACACACGGCACAGTGATCAGGTGACAACCATTATAATTGAAATGGCTTTAAAATTAAATTCCATACGACTATGCATACAGTTTTCAATAATAACGACAATATTGGTAAACGCTGTTTAAAACTAAAACTAACATCGCTGGTTATTGACCTAATTCCAACCGATGTCAATGTCGAGTGTCATCGGGGATTCAGCATTTCTTGGTGTATTCAGTATGTGTGAAATAGCTTTATTTAACATCAGCTTCCACCGAAGTGATATTGCAGACAATTACATGTTTTATATACATCGTGAAAATATTTACAATGTGATTAGTGGAAAAATTAAAGGATAGTTAGGTTTTTATATATATATATATATATATATATGTACAGAAGACAATAGATAGGAGGACGAGACATGATATAACAAGTGCAAAGTAATGAGGTGCTAGTAGGGACAATCACAGACATTGACAAACAGACATGAATATGGACGAACATTTAGACAGACAGACATAGACATTTATATACAGACATTTTGACAAAACAGACATGAAAGTGGACGAACATTTAAACATATTATGTACATAATATATATATATCTTGGGTCGTTTTAGTCGGTCTGGTCGTTCTGTCCGGTTGAATGGCAGGGCGGTGCAACTCTTCCTTGGGGCTTGTTGGTGAGTGTAAGGCCTGGTCCATTCTTCCTTCCATTTGGGTTTGTTGTCCGGTATGGTGGTATTGTTTTCATCTTTATTTCTGTTGTTCATTCCTTTTGTTACTGGTTCTCTGAAGGAAGAATCCAGTCCCTGAAAAGAAGGAGAGAGAAAAGAGAGTATCTGGGCCCTGTTTCACAAAAACTTAAATCTCCTTAAAACTAAAATTCCATCCTAACTTAAGATAGATGCGTTTCACAAAACGATTTTAAGCATTTTAGATAAAATCCACTAAAATAATATTGTAAGTTAAAATTGTATCTTAACTTAAAATAGTGGCGTTTCACAAAACTATTTTAGGGACAATTTTAACTAAAATCAATTTTAACTTAGGACAGCCGTCACCCTCTCCTAACTTAAAATCACGACAATAACACACATTGATTAGAGCTACGTTGTGAGATCTATTGCGACATATAGATATGTTTGGAATAATGATAATATTGCCAATGGCCCGGGTTATATAATTTAAACATACTTTCATTCACAAAAATAATTTTCATTCAATTTCTTTTCATTGCATGGGAAATATAGCTGCGGCCCACCCGTTATTTTATTGTAAGGCAATATAAGCAATTAGATGACGCCCCAAATTAAAACCCCAAGAACAAAAAAAACCCAGTAAACAAAACCATTTGTTACTAATTTATATATTACCATGACTCAAGTATAAATTATACTATTTTCAAATAATTAATAAACCAAAAAAAAAAAACCCTCCCATTTCATACCTAATGTCTAAAAGAATATCTTTGTAGGCCTACAATTGTTTAAAATGAGAGAGAGAGAGAGAGATATGGGATTTAACGTGCAGAGAGAGAGAGTCATTTCAGGACTAACACATGGTTCAATTTTATTTGAATAATTCGCATAAAGTTTGATTTTAGTTAATATCTATTTTAGTGATTTTAGTTTAAGTTTTTGTGAAACACTACAGGGCCCTGGTCTTGCGGTGGTTTGGGGTTTTATTTCGTCTAGTAAGGCTTCGGGGGGGGGGGGGGGGATTTGTAATAATAATAATAATATAAAAAATAAAAAAAATACTTAATTTGATGTAATAATATTAATAATAATAATAAAATATAAAAAAGAAAGAAAATCAATTTGCATTTATGACAAGTTAATATAATTTACATTCAATTTTTATTTAGAGTAAATAAAATACAATAGTGCATATATGATAGCTTAATATGATCTACAATCAATATTTGTTTAGTCAAAAGCAGATAGTAAAAAATATTTCAGGGTGTGTTTCGTTTCCCTCTATGGGGACATTTTTACGCTAACACCCTGATTCATTAGTTTAAAGTTTTATTAGTGGTGTAGGACGGGTGACACTACCCTCTAGGGGTGTATTCAGTATTCTATCCGAGGATTATATTTGTTAGGCACAATCTTCAACCCTCGGGCAGATTGCACTCTGCGCGTGTATGGAGCTAGCGTGCAGATTGCCAACTTTGCACTGATTACCCCTTGATGTTTTTAGAGATGTTGTAGTGTGTCATAACGCAACTATATATTATATTATATATGACCTGCCTCCTATGGTCTTTGTAGTGAGAAATAATTTACAAAATCACTGCATAATTAGCGTGTGTGCTTAGAAAATAAGATTTTTAATTCTAGTCAGCAGTATCTCATAATCGGTGCTGACCACTGTGACTGAATGTCAAAAATATTTGCTGTAGTGTAATAGTTTGACCGATCGTAGTTACTTTAGTAACAAAGTCTTAGAGACCCCTATCCTATATGAAGAGAGAGCACTGGGGTTCTCTAAGACTTTGTTACTAAAGTAACTAGACCGATCGCAGCTGTCAATCAAAATAATAAATCAACCAATCAGATCTATATGGTCTGACGTAAATAAAGGTATTTTCAGCAGACGTCAACCACCAACCTGTCATAACTCATCATAATGGTAAAGAGATGTGCTTGGCGTACGTGTAATTCGGACAGTCCGGAGAGACTGACGGAGGGTAACCTTTATTCCTTTCCCAAAGCTTGGAAGAACACGTGATACCAGACGATGGATAGGTTGATGCAGACGACCAGTTAAACGAAGAGATAGGTTTAGTAATGGGTGAGCAGAGAAAAGCAAACATCTTTTTGTGTGGACTAACTTACTAAGGTTATTATATTGACTTTTTTGCCTACTCTTTTTTTCTAACAAAATACACTCAACCATTTTCATCATTATTTTTCTTATGTACCGGTAGGCCTTATCTTATAGGCTAATAAATGTGTCTGTTTTTACAATGTGACATTGAAATGTCAGTATTTCCTCTCAGACATTTTATAAATTGATTTATTCATTCGGTTATTGCACCAGGGCAGAAGTGACAGTCAGTAGAAACAATCTTTTTCATAAAATAATTAAAATAGTTGATCTTCTTTGACTGTAACTCATATATAGGACTATACTACAGAACAGGTCTGCAGGCATGGGCGCAGGACCCGACAAGGACAACTGTCTAGTCGTTTGGATAGAATGAAAAGATCGAGGTCCTGTGTACACAATGGTGTGCACGTAAAAGATCCCTTGACAGTTGGAAATCGATATAAGAGTAGGCCATAGTGCCACTGTCCGGGCATAGCACACTGTATGGCATATACCCGTCTTCATTAGCCCAGTTCAGAGCAGAACAGTAGGACGTTAAACCCCATTTCATTTCATTTCGGGCATGGGCCTTAATTTCAAGTTTGATTAAGACGTTAACAAAAAAAAAAAGAGAAGGCAGACAAAGCAAATCAAGTTGCCAATTAAAAACTAGCTAGTAATTATCTACGAGAATGGAATGGTCATGTAAATTTACTTATATTATGTATCATAATAATAATATTCTTATTATTTTTTTCATTTTTCAGCCAGATCCCATCGCTGCACTGCATTATGATCATATTTATTAACAAGACCACCACCAGTTCAAGTATTTTTTTTGAGAAACCTGCAGTAGTTGAATCAAAGGTTTTAAGGTAACAATGGGTTTATCAGCTTTACAATGATTATTTCCTGTCACATGTGGTCACAGTATTCATACAAAGGCTTAGAATCACTGTCTTCTGTCCCATACTGGGGGTTTGGGTTGTCGAATGGTTAACACATGCATTTTAGATCATAAGGGCTGTCAGTGAGTCAAGTGAGGTGGTTTCGAACTATTCGAACCAATACAAGGCTTGTCTGTCCAACCCCGTTGGTTTCCTCCAGGTTCTACAACGCGGACCGGAATTATTGAAATAAAATTGGACAATTTGTCAGTCCAAAAATGACCTATCTAGTTTGTGTTGACACTACAAACTGCCCTATATCATTTTAGATATATATACTGAGCGCCATGGAAAACGCATCACTTTTGTTCCCAAATATTTTATTACTAGGTGGTTTTGAATGTATAATATTATGCAATACTATGAACTATTGTTTCACACAATGCTCCCAAACGCAAAAAATATCGGCCCGTGTGCACAAAAAAAAATTGCACAGGATGCACATGAAAAACCCAATATTCACATGCAGCATTGTGTGTGAGCCCTTTAAAAGCATGTTTCCAACTTAATGTGCAGTACATGAACTGTGAAACGTCAATCTGTCGTAATTTGTTGTTGGACGTGTGAAGGAATCGAGCTAGAGATACCGAGACTTACTGAAAATCAACGGAATGAAGCCATGGGAATGTCCGGTGCTGGCTATTGCCAGACACTTCAATTGTCATCAGTCCACTATTGTAAGGTTGGTGGAACGTGTTCGAGTTACTGGATCAACATGTGACCGTCAACGTCCTGGTCCACAACGCGTTACAACCCAGACTCAAGACCGCTACATCCGGGTCACTCATCTGCGTGACAGATTCCGCCCAGTAACTCGAACAGGTGCAGCAGTCATCAGAAGACAAGGACCAGTAAGTGCCAACACCGTAAGACGTCGTCTAAGAGAAGTAGGACTCGTGCATGACGACCTTATGTTGGAGCTATCCTCAGGGATCATCACCGTCAGTGGCGTTTGATATGGGCTCAAGGACACCAGACATGGAGAAGAGTAGACTGGCAAAGTGTGCTCTTCAGTGATGAGTCGCTTTCATCTTTATCACGCTGATGGCCGTCAACGTGTGTTTAGACGTTTTGGGGAACGTCTTGCAGACTGCTGTGTCTTCAAAACGAATCGATGGGGTGGAGGAAGTGTAATGGTGTGGGGAAGCTTCACATTTCATCACCAGACAGCCCTACACATTTGCAGGGGTTGCATTAATGCTGTAGCCTACCCTGATGATGTCTTGTATCCAATTGTTGTTCCGATGTTTCGAGCGCACCCACAACTTCAGCACTTCCAACTTCCGCATACCGCCCGTTTTAGTATGGACTACCTGGCTGCTAACAACATCAATGTCTTGGACTGGCTAGCCATGTCTCCGGACATGGCACCGATAGAACATGTCTGGGATGAGATTGGACGCCGCCTGTATCGGAGACCACAGATGCACACCATTGCTGCTTTAGAAGCTGCTCTTGTCCAAGAATGGAACAATTTGCCCCAGGCCTTCTTTCAAACATTGATAAATTCCATGTGACGTCGCTGCACAGCGTGCGTAAGAGCCCGTGGAGGACACACACGCTACTGACATCTGTGTCGTACTTTTGGTTTTGACCCCTCTGACTTTGTACCGTTGATTACAGATTAAACATCCATAAGTGTACAAATGTGTTGTTATTGATGTGTTCCCATTTGAATATTGTTCACAATAAGAAGCAAAATAAATAAGATATGTTTACAAGATCATTGTGCATGTTTTAAGACGTGACAACTTGCATTAAAATAAATGTGAATTTATGGAAGAATAGTTTCGTTCGATATGTGATATTTTGCAGGTAATATATAGTGCACTTACTTATTTTTTCGTTTTTTTGTTCTGTTTAAGATAAACCGACTTGGACGATTAGGTGGCAGAGATGTCCTGTCCATCGTTAACAACATCATGAAGAATCTCAGTGTCACTTATGTACAATGCCGTTACAATTGGACAGGATAAAAAGGCAAGCATGAATTAGGGGCACAGGCTACAGCTACCATTGTTTTTAGTAAGTAATATTGATGATACGTCATTGTTGGAATTAAATGCAAATTAATAACAGTTCTGGTACGATGGTGTTTATTTTAATGTTTTTACAATCGTTCATCAAAAGTCTTTTTGAACCCTGTGCATATTTCAGGTGCAATTTAGATTTGAATTGTATGTTTTTTTGTGGTCTAAGGGGAGATCATATGGAAAGAGTTGTGTTGCTTTGTCAGGTTGCACATCAACAGACCTAATGTGCTTTCCTTTTGAATTACAGATCCAGTCAGAAGAAATCCAATGTTTTGAAACACCACAAACAAGGAAATCAAAGCTGCAGTTAGTCGTTTGAACTGGTTTCCAGACAAATTCAAGGGACGGGATGGTGGGAGATCTCAACGAATTTCAACCGACCTAATTGAGAAAGCATAAAAATAAAACATGAAACCAAATATAAATAGTTTTGTACTTATTTGGTACAAGATCCCATATTACATTTATTTGTACCCCGGGGGGGTTGGATGGCTGAATGGTTAGCGTGCGCGCGCTGTATTATAAAGCCTGTCATTGAGTCGACTGGCGTGGTTTCGAATCCCCTGTTGTACGTGACAAGGAGTAGGGTTGCCTGTCCAACCTCGTGGGTTTTCTCCGGGTCCTCCTGTTTCCTCCCACTGCAAGCGAATTATTGAAATAAAATAAAACCATATGTTAGTCCCGAAATGACCTAGTTTGTGTCGAGTGGACGTTAAACCCCATTTCTCTCTCTCTCTTTATTTGTACCCCACATGAGTCCCATATAGTAACCATATGGCATTTCTTAACATGGCCATATGGGTCCCATGCAAGCCCCATATTACATTTATTTGCACCCCACATGAGTCCAATATAGTACCTATATTACATTTCTAAACAATGCTGTACTGTTTTGCTGTTCTCAACGGATTTGTTTACTGCTGGGACCGGTGGCTGTACTGTTTGTTTTTTCATTTCTTTTCCTGGGCCTCGAAGAGGGCATTCCTTTCGTGAGTGGCCAAGCTTCTCACATCTAAAGCATGGAGAAGGTTGGCCTGGCGTTACAATTCTGACTCTCGCGTCTCCGTAATGGGCTTGAAGGATTATAAGGTTGGTATTTCTTTTACTTTTTTATTTGGTATTTCTATCTCGACTTCTCTTATTCTTCTGTGGACATATGTGTTGCCTAGATGGAGGTCTTTGAACGATCTTACTTGGCCTATGTCTGTCATTATTTCAATGAAGTATTCATCAGAGTAGGAGACTGGGAAGTCATATACCGTGAGGGTGAGCACTTTGGCGAAGCGTTTGTGGAAGCGGTAGGTTGTTCCCATGTGGGTGTGGTTCTCTGCTTCGAGGATTTTTGTTTTGGTTGCTTTTGTACGTACGTGTACGTGCCATTCTTCTTCTTTCAGGTATATGGTTAGGATGTCATCCCACTTGCCGAGTAGGTCGGTCAGGCACTTCAAGATTTCCCTGTCGGTTAATCTATCCGTGCTGCTGACCGCCACGTGGTAGAATACTCGGCTGGTCTCTTCTTCTGGTAGCCTACTACGTATTTTTTAATTATCGGGTCCATGGTGCCAGGACTGGTTAAATGGAAGACTGGAAGACTGGATAACTGGAAGACTGGAGCAGCAGGTGTTAACAGGGCGAACGATAATTAACAACTGTCAGTGATTCGTTTTCAGGTAGTCAACTATATATGCGGTCACGGGTAGACTAATCACCGGAATTCATTTACATTCACCGGAATTCATTTACAATCACCGGAATTCATTTACAATATCACTGGAATTCACTTACAAAATCCCTGATTCCTCCCACAAAACTCGCTTATTTTAAATGTATAATACATTTTGATCTCTCCACGGGCCAGATAAAGGCGCTGTAGGTGAATTTATTTGAAAGACTACCGGAATTCATTTCAAATATATGCATCATGATTGATTATGATAACATAGGGCGCGTCGTATTACTATTACCCAATAGGCCGAACTCCAAAATAATACATAATAACAATTTGCGCCAATAACCCCAAAAATGTTGACTGTGGAAACACAATATAACAAGTTGAATTTAAGAAGCCTCGCTGATTTGTGCCCAAATCGGAGGTTCACGGGAGATAACTCATGTATGTGATTTTTGTTGACAAGAAACTAATGTATACTTTTGTTGCAATTCGTTGTAATGTATTGTAATAAAAGATTGATAATAGTTTATTAAAATAAACAATTTAATTAGCTATATTTATTTATTTATAATTGAAAATTGCGCCGATTGTCACTTTCGGTCATCGACATCGTAACTTGTTTAGAAATAAATAGATTCTCATTCTCATGTTATCATAGTTTGTTATGTTTTTTGGAGGTGTGATTGTTTGTGATTTGTCACCTTTTACAATGACAATTAACTGGTGAACATTCTATATGCCTACTATTGGCATATTATTAAAATTACACTTCATTTAATCTGGACTGCTTCATGCTACAACGGATTATCTATGAAATCATCCAAACCATTATTGATGAGACTTTATAATTATTTGATTGGCAGATTATTACTAAGTTAATTTTAGAATAAACTGCTGTGTTTTTATTGTGTTTCCCCGAGTTGACCATCTGGAAATATCGTTTTACAGCAGATACATTCTAGTATTAATATTAATGCAAAATATAAGTAAATACAATTGTCTTGGGGCGGATTCCGATTTTATCAAAGTGAATTCCAGTGTTTTAAAGTAATTTTTTATTAATGTAAAATATTAGTAAATACGAAGGTCTAAAGTGTGAATTCCGATATTTTGTAAGTGAATTCCGGTGTCTTCAAGTAATTTATTATTATTGTAAAATATTTGTGATCGAGTACGAAGGTCTGAAGTGCGAATTCCGATATTTGAAAGTGAATTCCGGTGTTTATATGTTTTCAAATTGAATTCCGGTGATTTTCGCTGTTTCAAAGTAATTTATTATTAATGTAAAATATTAGTAAATACGAAGGTCTTAAGTGCGATTTCCGATATGTTGAAAGTGAATTCCGATGTTTATATGTTTTCAAAGTGAATCCCGGTGATTTAAAGTAATTTATTATTAATGTAAAATATTAGTAAATACGAAGGTCTTCAGTGCGAATTCAGATATGTTGAAAGTGAATTCCGGTGTTTATATGTTTTCAATGTGAATTCCGGTGTTTATATTATGTGTTTTAAATTCAACATTAATATTAATGGAAAATATAAGTAAATAGGAAGATTGTACGGGCGAATTCTGATATCTCCAAAGCGAATTCCGGTGTATGGATTTGGTCATATAATATTGTAAGTTAAAATTAGGACTGAAATGCTGATAAAAGAGGCTTTTTGATGAATTACAAATAGGTTCTACACATAATTGTTTTAAAACATCTCAAATTTGACGAGTTACGAGATTTTCTCCACACATGTCGAGTAACCTCCCTTTAATGGTCAAAATATCGGATTTACAAATCATATTAAATGTAAATATTTTCATTGTATAAAGTGACAAATCACATACAATCACAACATAATAAACTATCATAACATGAGAATACTCTGAACAAAGACAATTAACTGTCAGCGGAACTTATTTAAATTGATTTCATTTATTTATTTCAAAACAAGTTACGATGTCGATGACAGAAAGTGACAATCGACACAATTTGCAAGTATCACATACACGAGTTATCTCCCGTGAACCTCCGATTTGGACAAAAACCAGTCACGCTTCTTAAACTCATACTAAATTGTTATTTTGTGTTTCCAGTCAATATTTTTGAAGTTATTGGTTGTTATTTTGGAGTTATTGGGTAACTCGACGCAAATTGTTTTTAGTGTTATTTTGGAGTTCGGCCTATTGGGTAACACGACGCGCGCCCTACGTTATCATAACCAAGATGCATATATTTGAAATGAATTCCGGTAGTCTTTCAAATAAATACACACACACAGGGCCTTTATTTGGCCTATGGAGATATCAAAATAGTAATTCGTTACATTATAATGTATTATACATTTAAAATAAATTAGTTTTGTGGGAGGAATCAGGGGTTTTCGAAGTGAATTCCGGTGATTATATGTGAATTCCGGTGATTGTAAATGAATTCCGGTGAATTCCGGTGATTAGTCGGGCCCTGCGGTCATTCTTTTCTTTCCGTATCGATTTGCTTGTACTTGTACCAGTAAACTGACTGTCACAAAATTCATTAAAATGTAATCATTAAAATGACTAATACTAACGCACTGAATACCGAATAAGATTAGGCAGATTATCTGTTGTTGGTTAGTTGTAGGCCTATTTTACGCCCGCTTCCACTGAGCTTAAGTGTCGTGAGGTGTTGAAGTTGAGGGATGGTAGCTGCTGTTGGATTCTGTGTTGGTGGTGGATGTTCTGCCATTATATTATTGGCGATTGATGGGGATTAAACATAAAAATAAAGACAGGAAAAACATCTGCCACTTCTAATGAAGGAAAAAAAACATTACAGGAAGATGTAAAAGTTAGCTCCCTTTGAGCAAGTTCGTACCGTGTTATATTTAAAGAAGATTAAACGTAACCAATATTAAAGATGAGTTTACTACCCAACACCCCCTCTTAAACTCAGCATATTAAGAGTGTATCCGCGAGAAGACCATGCAAAAATCGCAAAAAGTGCTAAGATGGGGGGGTCGGAAGTTTTTGATCAAACTTATGGTATGACACCCCCTAGGGGCAAGAGGTAACATGCTGAAGTGGTTACAGTCTGGTGTCGCTCTAAAGGACTGTACGGGAATTATTCATTTTATGGGTAAAATTGCGGTTTTCACATGTGTATTTATCACCCTTTTTAATCACAGACTGCATTCTATGGTGGAATAGCAACCTTCTAATTTTGACCCTGTCTGATAAAGCGGGCGGTCAACTTCCACCCCAGCACTAATTTGAAAAAAAAAAATCAGTACATACTAATTTTGTGTGGACTTGTTTTAGGGTACCATATTCACATTGTCCTTATAGTGCAGAAAAAGATACACTGTAACTTTTTCTTTCATGGTCACAAGTAGAATTTCTTTGGGTGGTTTTGAAGTGCTAAGCACATAGTATCCATAGGTGTAAAAAAATGACCGGTATGCAACATACTTAAAATATACAGCTTATTGAAAAGTGCTAAAATAAGCTTTTGTGATACATTTTTTTGCAAATTCAATTAGAGAAATAAAATTTTTGACTTTTATACGTTTTCATCATATCCATAGCCATTATTTGTACCATGTTGCACTCTATATAAGTGTGTGTTTGTATTTATTGTATATTTGGTATTGTCGTATTGTCCCTTTAACATATTTGTTGTATTGTCTCTTTAAGATTTCATTTTCAAACAGGTTACCGAAAATGGCTACAAAATGTTTAATTTCAGAGCATGTTTCCACTATTCATTTTGGGACACATCCACTGATTTCTACAATACAGAAATGTGGAAGCTTAAACATTAACGGCAACGAAGCCTTGCGTCGAAGTGGGTGACATTGAACAGTGTAGTATGGTAGCTACAGCTCTCGGGCACCGTCAGCTGCACCTTCAGGGCCGGATTTAGAATAAGAGAGGCCCTAGGCAAACCCCCTGAACAGGGCCCACGAAATGGACCTTGGGGCCCTGGGACAAGCAACTCGGTGAGAGGGTGGGTCGGAGGAAGTCATGCGGTTGGTGGTTCGAATCTCACTTTTAGGTGAATTTTTCATTTTCGTTGGATTATTTTATTTAAAATAATGTCTATTTGAGAGTAATGGATATGTTTGTTGAGATTGAGCATGTCGATACTCCAATGGAAGCTCGTGGACAACTGCGGATGTAATGTCCAAATTATTGCATTCGGTATTTATTAGTTATTTGACAATGTGAATTGAAATGTGAGTTACTTGTGTACAATTTGAGTAATGAGAGTCTAATTGACCTAGTCTTTGTTTCTTATTAAGATGTCATTATTGTATAATCGTGTCTAGTGTCTTGGTGATTGTTGATAATTATGGGATGTGACCGAAGCATGGCGTGGCGGGCATGAATGTCCCCACCGGCTTCGAAAGTGTTTTTCACCGCATTGTTGTGATAAATATGTGAATCGTGAATGAAACTTTTGTGAATATGATCAGTGAATCCCCGTGAACATTTTGTGAACAGTTAATTATGTGGTGAACTCTTAATTTCTGTAATTTAGTCATTCTAGTGAAACCCGTGAACATGTGACTTTCTTTCATGAGTAATTGGTGAACTTTTCATATTTATATGATAACGTGAATCCTGAAGCAAGATGTTTTATATGTTTGTCATTGGTCTACTGTAAACTGTAATTTGTTGATCAATACATTGACATTTATTATTTGAAATTGGTGTTTTCTTATGGTGTCATATACAGTAAATGATTTACGGAAGTTGCAACGCTGAAAGGGACAACCACCACAACAGGCGCGTGAAACATCAAACCGGAATCTTGCCCATGACCACGTCACCCATAGCGGAAGCCAATTCCCATGAATTCATGAATGATTACAGGCCTTTGAAAGTATTTTTTTTCAAGATATTTTTATAAAACAGACACTAATGTATTTTAGGGCTGGTAGTAAACACCATATGAATGAAAAGGAAAACAAATTGTTAGGTTTTTTTTTTTATCTACTACGGTTAATTATCTCCAAAATAGGGAAATTACAGATTAATTTCATGGGTTATTGTTTCCTTTACCTAGTTTTTGTCAAGTCGATTCCAGTCATTTTTATTTTTTGTATCAAATGTTGGGAGGTTGCTTGTTCACGTGAGCATAAATTTTTTAAACCCACCCCATGAAAGAAGTAGCTATAGGGCGTCAAACTTTGGGTGACGAAAAATGGGGAATTTAGACAGGCGTTGATATCCAGTCCGTATACAGATCTCGTTCGCCAGAATCGTCTGAAGTTAATATTGTGGTAACAGCACTGAGTCATCTACAAACTGTGTGAGTTTGGTCTTTCTGCTACGTATAGTAAAGGTGTAAGGACTTGCCAAAATTGGTATTTGAGAAAAGACGGATTTTGGCAATTTCACCATATGAAAAATGTTTTTTCAATTTTCTCAGTCAGGAATTGAAAGATTTATCTAATATTGCACATTTATGTGTTTTGTCACTATCCCAACTTATAAACCAAATTTGGTCAAAATCTGTGATTGAAGCCTTAGCACCTTTTGCATGGTTTTCTCGTGGACACGCTCTTAAATTTAACTAACAACTGGTCAGTGAAACCATTAAATTATGATTATTATTTTAATATCTATGTACACCTGGAATTCATATGGATAGATCCACAATCTATTCCAAGATCGTCTTCCTTCGACTGCCACGTGGCCTATTTCCTCAAGGCAACTTGCTGGACCTGTTATGAATAATTTCAGCAAGCTTGTTTTTTTTTTTACCGGATTATCATAATTATCCTTACTTGTGCTAATTACTCGGATTATGAACCACATGGACGATTCTTACTGAGGTATGACTGTTATTGTACTGGGCCCTTATTCACGAAAACTTATAAGATACAATCAAAATTTTAAGAAATACTGCAATTCGATTGGCTGACCAGTAAAATCAATTTGCATATATCCAATGAAGTTGCAGTATTTCTTAAAATTTCGGTTGTAACTTAGTTTAAGTTTTCGTGAATAAGGGCCCTGTAGCCGACTTTATAATCACCAGAATTCACTTCGAAAACCCAGATTCCTCCCACAAAACTAATTTATTTTAAATGCATAATACAACTAATAACTATTTTGATCTCTCCACAGGCCAGATGATGGCGCTGTAGGTGTATTTATTTGAAAGACTACTGGAATTCATTTAAAAAATATGCATTATGATAATGTAGGGCGCACCGAATGACCCAAAAAATCCAAAACAACACCCAGTAACTCCAAAAATGTTGACTGTGGAAACACAAAATAACAATTAATTTAGTTGAGTTTAAAGGCTCAATACCACTCTTGTAACTGAATAATATGTCCCAATCTTTATTCTGGTCAACAAATTGTACTATTTGATACAAATTTCATCTTAACACACCTTATTTAAAAAAATTGAAAAATTCAACATAATGGTTTGAAACGTCTAACGTAAACCTTTTCAAATGAAACTTCGATTTAAAAATATTTTCGAACCCTCTGGACAAGTAAAATAGGATGTAATGGATAATTTACACAACAGGTAGGACACTTAAACATCTAGTACTTATATAGAGATATTATTTATTTTCTGGAGCTTTCAAGCCAGCAAAAGAGTGTTATTGTCCCTTTAAGAAGTCTCACTGCTTTGGGCCCAAATCGGGGGTTCATGAGAGATAACTCGTGTATGTGATTTTTGTTGACGAGAATTAACTATGTATACTTTCTTTGCAATGTTTTGTAATTAGTGATTGATTAATAGTTTATTAAAACAGTAATTATATGCAGGAAACATATTATGGTATATATAGTGCAATAAACAATTCGATATTATAGCTATATTATTTATAATTGCAAATTGTGTTGATTGTCACTTTCGGTCATCGACATCATAACTTGTTTTAAAATAAATTCTAAATAAAATCAATTTAGATAAGTACCGCCGACAATTATTTGTCTCTGCTCAGAGTATTCTCATGTTATGATAGTTTATTGTGTTGTGATTGTATGTGATTTGTCACCTTTTACAATGACAATATTTAAATTTAATACGGTAAATCTGATATTTTGATCATTAAAGGGAGGTTACTCGTCAAATTTGAGACAGTTATGTGTAGAACCATGGACCTTATAATACTGTATTACAAGGTCCATGGTAGAACCTATTTGTAATTCATCAAAAAGCCTTTTTTTTATCAGTATTTCAGTCCTAATTTTAACTTACAATATTATTTGACCAAATCCTTACACCGGAATTCATTTATAAATATAGTGATCGAGGGTATTTCTACAAGTACCAAGTCTCACTTGGTGTTCCAAGGCGTCTGCAATAAAAACAATGTTACCTACGGCAAAGCAGCAATATATAGGTTAAATCCCGCTGGTAGCACAGACTCAGTGGATAGGTGGAAGTAGTCCCGGTTATCCTGACGGACACCTGTATTATACAGGGCAAAATCACAACACTCCTCCCCGTCTTAATTTGAAAGGATTGGTTCCTGGTTCTGAAAAAAAATGTCCTACTCTTCACACTCAAACTTTCAATTACACTAGTAACGGTATACAGGTACACCGTATCATTCACTCATCAATCAAGAACAAATCGGTTATAAATTCACAAAAAAAATCTACATACACAGCTCAACTAACACACTATTTATGGATAACAATTACTATGGTTTATATATATATCCATATTATTTTCATTTTTATTCATTTGTGTTATATGCTTGATAACGACTTGTGAAATCTTGTTGAAACGTCGCAGTGAAATAAACCATAGTAATTGTTATCCATAAATAATGTGTTAGTTGATTATGTTCCAATTACTAAATGCCATTTAAAGAATACATACTGCAACTATTTAACGGTTTACAGCAAAGTCACCGTAGGCATGGACAGGTAAATATTCAACATCGTAATATTGAAGGCATTTTCACTTTAAATTTTGTTCCTTTATTTCGAAGGAAAGATTGAATCTTATTTCTAAAACTCGAAAAATAGCATTTTATTCTAGCCAAATATACTGAGCGCCATGGAAAACACATCACTTAGTTTTTCGTATAACAAAATGATCCTGTAAACATATCTTATTTATTTTGCTTCTTATTGTGAACAATATTCAAATGGGAACACATCAATAACAACACATTTGTACACTTATGGTAGGGTGACCCATGCACTCTACAGAAATACAGTCCACCGCTGATAGTTCGAGACTACCACTGAAGCGTGCACGAAAAATCGCGTTTTTAGCTTGTGGACCCTATAGAGGTCATAATTTTTATCCGATTTAAAAAAACGTATTATTATATCACCGTTACATCCTAAGGACAGCTGAGTTCGAATTTCGTGAAAATCGGCTCAAAACTGACAGACAAAATGGCCGCCGTTTGTTCTCAAATAGCGTAAAAATATGGTATATCAAGGTTGTGGACCCTATAGAGGTCACAGTTTTAATCCTATTTTGATGAAACTTGAAATGTAAGTTTATAACCCAAAGATCTTGGTTCCTTTTGATATTCGCGCATTTCGGAACGCAACTTCCTGAATTATGGCCCATGATTGTACAAAAAATCGCGATTTTAGCTTGTGGACCCTGTAGAGGTCATAATTTTTATCCGATTTAAAAAAACGTATTATTATATCACCGTTACACCCAACTGACAGACAAAATGGCCGCCCCTCATTCTCAAATAGCGTAAAAATATGGTATGTCAAGGTTGTGGACCATATAGAGGTCACAATTTTTATCCGATTTTGTTGAAACTTGAAATGTCAGTTTTTAACCCAAAGATCTCGGTTCCTTTCGATATTTGCGCAAATCGAATTGTAATTTCCTGAATTATGGCCCTTGATTGTAGGAAAAATCACTTTCTTTTTAGTTTGTTCTCTATCCATCTCTCGAAAATGTGGGCGTATCCTGTCTGGCAGCCGCTGGTGGATTTCCTGATAGTTGATGCTTATGTAAAGCCTATACTTGGTTTGTGTGCTATACAGCGTATGGAACTGATAACAGTCAATGTTGAAAGTTTCGAAGTCGATTCTACTTATAAAGTTGATGAACACTTACCTGTCTTAACTCCAGAAACCATTCATACTGAATTCAACGATGTGTTTACACACAGGTGTTGGTTGTTTTGATGGTAAACTTAGCCTTGAGTTAGATAAAGACATTAAGCCTGTACAGATTCCGACTCGAAAAGTTCCTGTAGCTCTGAAATCACAGGTCAAGTATGAGTTAGATAGACTTACTCATCGAGGCATAATTGAATCAGTCTCTAGCCCTACTGATTGGATCTCATCAATGGTAGTCATCAATGGTAGTCATCGCTAAGCCAAATGGAAAACTTTGTCTTTGTATAGACCCCAAACCACTCAATGTAGCCTTAAAAAGGAATCATTATCCTACACCGACTATTGATGACCTGCTTCCAGAGTTGTCTAAAGCTAGAATTTTCTCGGTGGTAGATGCTAAGAATGGTTTTTGGCATGTTGTATTGGACAAGGAAAGTAGTTACCTAACCACTTTTGGTACTCCTTGGGGAAGATTCCGATGGAGACGTCTCCCATTCGGAATATCTGTAGCTCCTGAAGAATTTCAGCTAAGAGTTGATCTTGCTCTAGAAGGTCTACGAAGTGTTAAAGCAATACATGACGACATCATCATTTATGGTACTGGAAACTCTGATGAAGAAGCCTTTAGAGATCATGATCGTAACTTTATTTAATTGATGAAACGATGTCAACTAAAAGGTTTGAAGATAAATAAAGACAAAGTGAAGTTACGTTAAGTTAGCAGTTTGCAAAAGTTTCTTACGAGTGTGATTGTCTCTTATTCCAAGAACTATGCTATCACGAATAAGACTGTCTTCCAGGGCACCATAGTTACAAGTTTTTGCTAGAGAGCGTAGCACAGTGACATATGTATCCACATTGTCAGACTCTTGGTGCCGTTTATTGAAGCAAAAGCAAAAAAGTTTCAAACTTCTGAACAATAGAATCTACGTTATTTCTTTGATTATCATCATCAAATGTCAAACCATCGTAGATGTTTAGGGCTTCTGGTCCTAAGCAGGTGAGGAGGGTAGCAGTACGTTGACCCATTTCCTTCTGATTAGAGAGAAAAGGTAAGGTGAACGGTATATGCAGCACAGGATAGTTTCTATCGCCTTCAGCCATGCTTGAAGTAATTAGATTTTCTTTACAGGATACCACAGAAACAAGAAGTATACTTAAACACACAATAATCTTCATAGTCGAGTTACTTTACTATACATGTAAGTTCCCTCATTGTAAATAGACGTCGACAATGTAGAGTAGGCCTTAGTATTATACTACATAGATAGACGTACTAGAGTCTAGTAAAATCACAGAGCTGATTTTATTTCAGTTCCACGATGCAGAGACAATCGTTGCAGGCCCTTTAAATCACAAAGATGATTTACCGTAATCAAAATGTCAACAAAGTTTTAACAATGCAGAGACAATATCAAACCTTTACAAACACTGAGACGTTCTAGTAGAAGGGAGTCAAATCCCTGAGATGATTCTTGACTAAATTCGCTGAGACAAATCCAAACTTCACAGAGATGAAGAGTTGTTTGTTTACAATTCCTGATGCGCAGAGAAGCATCCAGAAAAACATGGTAGGAAATCTGGATCAAACTGGTTACTTCCAGGCGGTCATCAAGCGTTGCCGTTCCACCCGTTTTAAGATTCAGTAACTACATACCAACATTGCGTTTATAGTATATGCTAGTCCCAAATGTTCACATTAATTCTGACACCATGTTTCAGTACCTCCTGTCCAGATCAGTGTTATATTGTAGGCAAACAAGATGAGTAACAAGTTGACAACTGCTAGTTTTACTTCTCTCACATACGTCATCATGTATTCGGGTACTTTACAACAAACAGTTAAAGATAGGTTGCCAGGCAACGAAACATACCCCCACAGCAGCTATATCGTCCGGGCAGTCAACAAGAGTTGTCGCATATTTTTACTTTTTTCGGTAATGAAACATTTATAATACATTCAAATCTGATTAAGAGTAACAACTCATTAAGTAATTTTCAGAAAACCATTAGAATTCGTTTGGTTTTTATAAAGTTCTGCCCCATGCTAACATTTAGTATATACGAAACTTTTAACATCATGGATTTAGCTGTTAAAGTCATAAAGATTCATTGAAAATCAATATACTTGTTCGTCTCAAGACCTTAAACACTGACACTGTGGATCAATTTAAAGTCAATCGGATATTAACTTGAGCCTCTAGAGCGTCCACAAGATTTTTCAAAGTGATCGCTTAAAATCAATAGACTTCTTAGTCTCATGACCTTAAACGCTGTGTATGAATTTAAAGTCAATCGGATATTAACTTTAGCCGCTAGAGCGTCCACAAGATTTTTTAAAGTGATCAAGCAGGGATAGAAACTAACGGCGCTCGCCCGGTTGCCCATGGCCAGTAAAAGTCAGTACGGGCGAATGAAATTCAAAAACAATTAGCCCGTGTGGCGACCTGATATTGTGGTAGTTGTAATAATTGATAATTTGTACTTAATAAACACTGTCATGAAACTAACTTCCGAAAATCGTTGCCATCACTATTTACGTGTTTTTAATCTTTGGCTGTTCCATTTCGCCATACCGGTATGAAATCTGAGCAAGCAAGCTTGCTGATTGGTTGAAATTGTATGATAAAGAGGGAGGGTACGGAACAGCCTCTGTTTACACCTCGATGAATTATGAACGAAAGTCGATATAATTGAATAACTTTTCAGTCATATTTCAGGTTAATTATCATAAATCGCCTAACATAATCGTTGATATATATACATGAAGCAATTTAGCGAAGAACATGGATGTTAAAAGGTTTTATAACAACGATATATTACGCCTACGGCAATGAAGACGCTCGTAAATACACGTCCTCTGCTATAAATAACTTATGATATTACATGTAAATTTTAAGGACATTACATCATATTATTTTGCACATCACAACTGAATTTATAAAACATAAATACAAATGAGGCCCCTGAAAAAATCTATTGTTGTATTGAAGATTAAACTTCCAAAGGACAAATATGAAATATGAAATGAAATGTGCCATCATGACTGATTAATGAATTCATTATTTGATGAAAAAAAAGAGGCAACAATGAACAAAGTCTATTTGTTGTATTATTAAATGTGCCAAAATAAATTTAAGTGCATGTATTTTGGTGTTTTTGATTGATTAATGATGAACAAAACAACAGTCTAAATCAGAATTTTTACGTCTGGTGTCAGTTTCTTACTGGGTTAGTAGAATGTTGGCTGGGCTAGTAAGAT